TAATATTCAAATTATAATTTTACAAAATTTCAGCAGCTATTCACAATTTATTAAACTATTTACTCGAAATTGTTATTAACATCTATAAAATAATTTTGTACGCCAATGTATCGCGTCCACTTCGGTGAGATCCGGTGCCAACCTGTCAATTTATGTGTATAAAGTGGGAGAACCTCCGAGCAATTACTACTAGAGGGAGTCTTCCCCCCTTCCCCGCGCTAAATTTTGTTAGCAACATCTACTCCCCCCGAGGGGGAAAATACCTCTTCTGTAATTGGCTTATTTAATCAGCGTTGCCAAGTTTGACAGCGCCAGAAGTGTTCTGTGAGCGCCAGTTCTGACACTTTCTGACACATGTCAATTTCTTATTTGTATTTTACGAAAAATATTATTTATAACGTTGTAAGGGTTGTAAATGTATATCTAAGATTTATTATCTCTAATAATATGGTGAAAACATGCTTTATGTATAAAAGGCCTGTTGAAAATGCTTCTTCAAGATAATATCATAAGTAAGTACAGACACAACCTAATTATCAGAGGCGGTGCATTAGGCAATAACCTTTAATTTGCAATTAAACTTTCTTATTTTCTTAACGAAAAATTTAAATTAAGAGCAAGTACACTCCAGCTAAGTTCGTCTTCATCCGTCTCATAATGATTATAGTAAAGGTTAATTACTTATTATTATTTTATTATCACATCTTTGTAAAGTTTATTGTTATTTTTTTAGGTTTCCTATTCTTGATATGAGAAAGAAACATGGTTTCAAAAGATAGGAATTCAACAAGTGACCACCTGAATAACTTTTTATGCTAATGAACATTTTTATTACAGACCTCAGGGAAGGAAAATATTAAAGAAAAATGCAATTTCGACGAAAGAAGTATAATAATCAATCCTGTCACTACTTCTACACTATATTCATCTGCTACTAAAATACTAAAACAGTAAGTAAGTAGAGAAACTTAAGTTTCTTTCAAAAAGAATGTTTAAGGAAAAAGGCATAGCTATTTTTTTGTTGACACTTTTTATAACTAATCTAAAAGACTAATTTTGTGTATTGCTTAAATGTTCATTTTTTGTACTTAATTTGTTTTAGGTTTAAACAAAATGAACTTCTAAGATATGCATGGAATATCCCAAAAGAGCTAAGAAAGGTTTTAAAATTCTTAAGAAAAGTATTCAGAGCCAAAAACATAAAATAGTCTTCCTGTCCAAAATATAAATAGGTATAAATATTTAGTATGAGTGATTTTTTATTCTATAAATAGAACATAATTTGCTTCTAAATCACTACCTAATGAACTATATTATATAGTACAAAACTAAACAAGAATATCACATTATTCATGTTTTTTTTTTTTTTATTTTCTTAAAAACGTCCCAAAAAAATGTGAATATTTATTATTGGAGTTTACATCGTTATGCTAAAACAATACTAGAATAACTTAAATAATGTGGATTTTGACTATTTTGAGTTATGCAGATCATTATGATCTAAAAAAATGTTTGTCTGGTGCTATAGTCAGGTATAAAAACATTCATTTATTTAAACACAATTGCAATGTACATTTTATTTAGTTTAAAGTTAAAACCTCTTAGGACATCCTGAAATGACTTTTTTCGTTTGATGTGAGATTAATTATTCTACATTTTTGTTGGTGAAATAGGATATATTAAGATGTCTTACTGTTTTCTCTGATTATCTAAAAAATTAGAACAATATACAGAGACTGTTATAACAAAAAAGAGATATACCTTTACTTAAACACACAATTAGTCAGTTCAATTGTACGATAATTTAAAGCAGAAATCCAGAAAACTTTGAAAATGTGTTTAAATGTATTTTTACTATAACATGTACATAATTATTAAAAAAACTTGGCACATTAACATTGACAATAGGTTTTTATAATATATATTATAAAAATCACAACGAACTACACAAAATGACATTATTAATAATTTAGCAATAAAAAAGTTAAGTACAATGATGACATTAAAAGTTGAGTTTCTCGAAATACTTTTTTTAAATTGTCTCAGTAACTACCTAGTATTTTTCTAGCACAATGATATTATACGAATGTGCATTGTGTGATATCTTATATTTTCGGAATAAAATTATATATTTTTTGCAGGTTTCTGTTAACAACGATTCCAAGAAATTTTGAAAATATTAAAACGGCATTTGCAAATATAATTCTCAATTAAGAGCTTTTGATCTAACATTAAATTTTTATTCTCCATAAGGTTATAGCTTCCTAAGAAGAAAGTTTAACAAGACTTACCAGACTCAAAATATCAAAATTTTACCAACCAATTGATGGTTCTACTGGTTTCCAAAAGAAAAGTGGCAGAGGCAACCGAAGAAGGCAAAAAAGTCTTTTGCAAAACAAAAACTAGCAATTTGTTTAAGAATCTAATTATTGTTTGAAGTTTTACCAATGATAATTTTTGATAACGATTTAAGATTATGAAGTTCTATTATGAATTTTACTCTTTGATAACCTATGTTTAAATTTTTATTAGGACCAAAATAAATTATAATTTTCATTTAAACTACAAAAACCCTCATAATATTAAAAAGGGGAAAAATGTTAGATTAGTTATGTTCAGGAATAAACTCTTTAAACATTTATCTACTTAAAATGTGTTACTTTTAGAAGGTATGTTATTAACTTTCTATTTGTACTTGTATTAATTCATTTCATTTTATTATCTGTTGTATTTTCAAATTGATTTTGATATTAATCTTATCTATTTATATATTTTTTATACTCACATATATGTTTTTTTCATTGAAACAAACGTTTATTAGCTTATTAAATATAATGAATTTATGTTGTTTTATTATATGCTTGTATGAATGATTACTTTTATTTCCTTTTAAAAATGAATTTCGAAGATAAAGCCGAAACGTTGAGTGAGAATAAAAATTAGACGAAAGTGACGATATTTACTGGAGCTTTCATCTACACGCTCCTTTTTCTAGCCATCTACACCTGAGCCAGCAAGATTCGTCTTCCCTCCATCCTTACATTCTCCAGATTTACAGAGAAAACGCCGTCCTCTTTAACATATCCAGACCTTCTTTGACGGGGGCTATACCACTACATTATCAGCTTTATTTGTTATCCCGAGAAATTTAAATGCATTCGTAATTGCTCATTCTCACCTCTTCTCTTGTAGATTCCGTACTCAGTTTTCTTATTTTTAGTTACGTTTGCACTGCTCTTTTATTTTCACAGCTTTAATTCTATATTGCTGTAACGCTACAATATGGATCCATTTATGTGGTTTATACTATTTAATGTTATTCGTAAGTGACCAACCTATTATAATAATTAAAGATTATTGTATTACAGGCCTGAAGATGTTCCTGTAAGGCCGAAACTAGTCGCTCCTGTATTTATAATAAAATTGATTTTAAGGTTTTATTCTTCAATTGAAAAAATTAGACCTATACAGTGATTTTGTTTCTTTTCCTGGATTAGACACACATAAGACGGTATTCATTTTAAAAATTAGCAAAATTTTTAGTTTTTTTTTTACAATTAAAACATTTGGACAATGTGTGTTTTTATAGACAAATGATACGCCACTGAACAAGAAGGATGTTTACCTTCCCCCTTGTGCCCGCTTCCTCACTTCCTCTACAGATGTTGCTAACACAACATTCGCCTACAAACTCGTTTCCACGCTCCCTCTATTAGTAATTGCTCGGAGGGGAGAACTGGCAAAAGCATTTCCAACTTTTACTTCTGTTCTATGGATAAACAAACATTGATATTTTGAAAAATCGATATGTTCTTTTCCGATTTTTTACAATATCGATAGTCTGTAATCAATGTTTTAAAAAATTTGCGCATCCCTAGTCTTAACCACGGCGTTTTAACCATATTTGACATAATGTCTTTTCCTTTGCATTGAAAGTGTAGCACTGGGCTACACCAATTCTGAAAATATCGTTCCATATATACAAATTGTATGGATGGAACGATATTTTCAGAAGTGACGTAGCTCAGTGCTACACTTTCGATGCAAAGGAAAAGACCTAATATATACGTGTTAACTGTTTTTATTTTTTTATTAAATATTGTTTGTAGGTCATAAAAAGTACTTTAAAGGTATGTAATTGGTCGCTAAATGATTATATACTTGATGCTTGTCTACTTTACTCTAGAAATATGTTTAAATATTTTTAAAAACAATACGAACAAAACGCACTCAAAAAAAAATACTGTCACTGTAATACCTAGTTGTCAGTAGAACCATAATTATGTCATCACTAATTTAACGTATACTGGTTCATTCATAAAACACATGCTTCTTTTCCTTTTTTCTACGCGGTAGCCGATGTAACAGTTTTTCTGCGTAAAATAAAATACAATCGGAATGAATGGATACGGGACGATTCCATCGTTGTTAAACGAAGTTTAAATTACTAAACGAAGTTTAAAATGACATTTTTACATGAACAGTGTCATTTTTATCTTCGCTTAGACCCGATTCCACCGTTGTGTTACATTTTTACATTAACAATGTCATTTTAATCTCCGTTTAACACAACGGTGGAATCGGCCCTAAGGGTCGATTCCACCGTTATGTTAAACGAATAAGATTAAAATGACATTGTTAATGTAAAAATGTCACTTTAAACTTCGTTTAACACAACGGTGGAATCGGTCCTTAGTAATCTAAACTTCGTTTAACACAACGGTGGAATAGGCCCTGTCTAGTAATTTTTCTTCATTGATACGAACTATTTCAGTCACCAAACATTTAGATTATAGGACAGATAAAAATAAGGTTATAGTTTATTTAAATTAGGGTCGATTCCACCGTTGTGTTAAACGGAGATTAAAATGACACTGTTTATGCAAAAATGTCATTTTAAACTTCGTTTTGTGTTAAACGAAGTTTAAATTACTGAGCGAAGATTAAAATGACATTGTTTATGTAAAAAGGTCATTTTAAACATTTAAACCTGGTTTATTTCTTAACTACTAGCGGTAGAATCATAGATTAGGTGGTAGAATTGGGTCTTAAACCATCCAAAGTTGTTTTTAATTAAAAATACCTGATTATTTGAAATAAATAGTATTTTAAATAAATAATTTGTGTACTGCACTGCTTGACGTTTCTAATTGTCAAAATACAGTTGACGAGTTGACGTAACAATATAAACAAGTCTGCTAAATAAAATAATAACAGTATTTCTAACAATCGGAGTTATTAATTCTATTAAAATATGTGGGTTTGTTGGTAATTTCACCTAGAATGGGTTAAGTAGTTAACAGTAAGTGTATTATTTAAATTAACGCCAGAATGGAGTCGAAAACTGATAATAATAGTGAAGAGAAATCTTCGGAAATAACAATGGTTGCCGTTGCCGAGGAAGAGCCTTTGGGTTCTCTAACTTTACCCGATGTACCGGAATTAAAAGGGCAGCAATTAAGATCCAGCGCTAGGGTATTTAAAAAAATGAAATTAGACACGGCTCCTTTAGTGGTCCCTGAGAAATGCGAGGAGAAAAAAGAAATCGTCAAAGAAAGTAAAAAGAAGTGTTTCAAACCTCTGTGGTCTTCTGACGACAAAACCTTGTTTTTCGAAGCGCTAAACGAGTACGGTAAGGATTTCGAGAGCATTCAACTGTACATAAGCAACAAATTTAGAAAAAAAGGATTGCCAGATCAATTCATCAAAACAAAGGAGCAAATAAGACACTTGTATTACCGCACATGGGCTAAAATATCGAAATACTTAAAATTCGCTGATGGGATTAAAAAACCCACTCAAGAACTGTATGCATTGATAAATTACGGCGAATTAAGGAAAAAGGTTAGTCCAATTTACTTATTTAAATCTTTGTAAGTAGATCAAAATTTAAATTGATTTTAGATTGGGTCTGTCAATGAAAAATATTTAGTGAAGCTTAATAAGCTGATTTACAAAGGTTCAATAGTGTTGTCAATAAAGGGTAAAAAAATAAGAATTAAGACCCCATTCTGCAGGGCTCTAAGGAAATTAAATCAGCTTGATGATAATTATGAAGAAATCAAATTACCAAATAGGTTGGCTGTAGAACTTAGACCGAAAGATATGGCATCTTTTTTGAGGGTTCAAAGTACAGCTCAGAATCCTCGGTAAGTTATATAGGGTGGTCAGTGTGATTATGTCCTGAAAATAATTATTTTTTTTTTTTTTCAGTTTGAAAACATATATGCCATTGCAAAAGCGTTTGAGTGGACTGATTGATTGTTTGAGTAAAAAATGGCAAAATTTTGATGCTGGGATGTATGACAAAGCATTGGTTACAAACAACCCTGTTACTGCTACTTGTATTCCCAGTGAGAAAGAGATTGAAATGAATAGGGAGCGGTTGAATCCACTTTTAAGGTAGGTATTTAAATATGTAGTCTTTTTTTACTTACAGGTGCCTTCATTTTAATAATAATGTAGAGGTGTAGTGGGATTGACAACTTTTTTTAAATATATAGCTCATTTGTTGTTTTCTTATCTGATTTAGTTAGATATAATACACAAAAAAATATTAAATGGAAGAATTAACTAAAAATAAGGTAGCTAAAATACAAAAATAACGGTACAATACATTTAAAAATTTTGTGAAGGTTCTTATTTTATGTCAATTGTTTCTGATGATCCTTTAATTGGTAAAAAAAAGTATATTATACACCAAGGAACTGAAGTGGCACTTTTTATCCGAATGGGAAAGGTTTGTAGTCTGATCAGAAGGAGGACTACAATTCGTTGAGGGATAAAAAGATACTTTAGTCCCATGGTTTATACACTATTTTATGCACTTTAGTAAAAGAAAAGCCAAAAATAATGTGTAAGTGATGAAACACCACTTAACGGTACTCTAATAACAAAGCAATGATGATGTCTGTGTAGTGTTGACATACATTGTACTTAATAGAACAACATATTTTTATTTTCATTTTTGAATTCCCCAATAATAGATGATAACAAGAATGTATTTAATACTTATAGTCCAAAGTCATTGGTTTGTGAATTAGAAACAAATGTTATATCAGAAATTTTGAATCTATAATTTTATTGACAGGACTAGACTTATAAATTAACCAGAAATTGACAATGCAGCATTTGTTTGACATAAGTATTATAAACCAAATCAATACATGTAAAAAAAAGAAATAAAAACTTAAAATATTTATAAGTCCAGGCCTTTGAATAAAATTTTAGATTCAAAATTTCTGATATAACATTTGTCTCTTAATTCACAGACCAATGATTTTGGACTACAAGCAATGGCGGCTTTTGATTAAAAACATTGGGTATTCTCTAAGCTTCTGTGGTGTCCAGATCGTCCTGAATTGACCCAGCTAAGAGATGAATATGACCTGGGGCCCTATCTTCGGCTATCGTTTTAGATAAAACGTGCATTTCTTCAAGGATTTAGCCAATGTCACTTTTAGGATGATTAATAATATTTATTGATTTAAACAAATTCTAGGTAAACTACTTTTTATCAACACCTACAAAAGTATTTAATTATTATTAATTGTACAATTAGAAAACTTGAAAGATAAGAATCCTCAAAGATTTAGACATGCAGAGGCAGAATCCATTTTTTGAAATTAATGGATATTGAATGAATATTTTCTAAATATTACCTTGTAAGAATTTAATTATTAATTCATGCATATTTTATTTACAGATATTAATTTGCTTGTGGTTTCTTGCAAGTGGTAGTTCAAATAAGCTCTTCTGTATCACACATTGTGTACAGAAATTTTAACAATTTTGTAAAATTGGCACACAATTATAAAGAACTGAATGAGATAAGCAAAGTTATTATTTAAATTAATTTTGTAGCATAAACCTAGGTTTTTATATGACGTACGATTTTCCTGGAATTATAGGTTGCATTAACTGCACCTATATAAAATTAACGATTCAGTTTATCCTGAACATTGATATATTAAAGAGATATTGCAAATTTCCATAACCCAGCCACTAATAGTAACATCGTAATTAGAGTCAAATAAATTCCATGCTAAAATCAGACTTATTGCAAACCTGAAATTTTGACATTAGAATTCTTGTCCTTCTAACCTCATTTTAATAACTTTAAATTATAGTTCATCTTTTTTGTTGTCTATAATAGTACATAATATTGAAGAGGCATTAGAAATTATAATTTTAGAAGGTTTAGATGACGATTATATTAAATATTTAATATTAAAAAACTTCGGACAGATACGAATATCGGCGAACGCACCCGAAAGCTATAAAGTCGCCACTGCCTGCTTTCCTTAAACATCCATAATTAAGGACAGGCACAATCTTTAATAAAGTTAGTTTTAGATCATAAACGATCTGCGCATGCTTAGATGTCAAAATAAGAGTGGCACTAATAGTGGCTGACCTTAAGTGAACTTGCAATAACTCTCTAATATGTGATTAGAAAAAATCATCATTCGATAAGTTTACAATTGGTTTGTTGTAATTAAATTACATAATCCTTATTTTTTATGGCTTGCACATAGACAGTTTACAGTGATGCCAGACATATTATTTTCTTGTTAAAAACGTACACGTTTTAAAAAACGAATGCTCATCGAACGCCAATATAGATTTCAAAAACTACTCACTTTTGAAAACGGTTCGTTTTTTAGCGATTGTCGAGGATAGCCGCCCTAGTGAGCTTTTTGTTAAGTCTTCCACTGGTCAGATATGGACTTATTCTTGGCTATGAAATGATGGTAACATACGTTTGTGTGCTATGGATACTATATATTAATTAAAATGAGATAAATCATAAAACTTATTTTACATAAATTTTAGAATTTTTAAAATAATTCCGTGAAATTTAGATGATATACTTGCATTTTTTTGGCAGTTCTGCAGCTCTACAGAACTTATTCACCAGCCACTACTATATATTAATTAAAATGAGATAAATCATAAAACTTATTTTACATAAATTTTAGAATTTTTAAAATAATTTCCGTGAAATTTAGATGATATACTTGCATATTTTTGGCAGTTCTGCAGCTCTACAGAACTTATTCACCAACCACTACTATATATTAATTAAAATGAGATAAATCATAAAACTTATTTTACATAAATTTTAAAATTTTTAAAATAATTTCTGTGAAATTTAGATGATATACCCAGACAACACACCAAATCCCAGAGATATCCACAGAATATCTTTTGTGGATATCCAATATATCCACAGGATATCAGAAATATTCCGTGGATCTAATATGTTTAACCAAATGTCCCTCTATATCCAGAATATAGAAGATTTAGCAAAATATCTAATGGGTATCTTCCAGAAAATACAAGAAATCCCAGAGATATCCACAGAATATATTTTGTGGATATTCAATATATCCAATATGGATATCCAACAAAATGTCCGTCTATATCCTAGGATGTAGAATATATTCGGATATTCAGCAAAATATTTTATGGGTATCTTTAGTAGAGGTTCATAAGTAACCAATAATTATTGAATAACGTCGAAAGAAAATAGCAGAGAAAAATATTTTCAACACTCAAAATATTTTCAACACTCTGCCTTTGATTTTGCCCACTAAGGAGAAAGTCATCCTTATTAGGACTCTTCAGCGATAAATGGAAATTCTCGACTCCAGTCTCTAATGGAGTCTGATTAGGACAACAATTTCGATCGAACTCAATTACGGCGGGTCGAGCATGAGTAGATGCGATAGTGGTATCGCCATCTATAATACTTAGTAAGCAGAATCAAATAACATCTAGTGGATATCCAGGATGGTTTGCGTTCGCGCCTAGACTTTGATATAGGTATTTAGTGGATGTTCATGGGATATTGAATACACCTTAAAAAATTAATTTTAAATATCTGAACGGTACTATTAGTAAACAATGGCGAGCACAATGGCGTAATTTTTTTAATAATTTGCTATATAATTACTATTATTTATGGACATTTGCATGTCTATAAATTACATCTCATGGATATAAAATAGATATCTAACATGGACTGGACATTCAGTGGATATTGGGATGTTCAGTAGATATCCAAAGGATTTGGTGTGCTCTCTGGGATACTTGCATTTTTTTGGCAGTTCTGCAACTCTACAGACCTTATTCACCAGCCACTACTAACTATAGATATTACATACATTTTTGTAATCATTTATTATTGGAGAACTCAAAAATGAAGAGAAAAATATGTTGTTAAAAAAAAATCGATGGTGTCATGTACAGGATAGTGGTAACGTCATTAGTACATCCAATTGTAGCGTAAAATGTGCAATTGAAAATAAAAATTGACATGCGAAGCATTTTGTTAAAATACTGTTAGACAAAAATATCGAATTTATTCCAACCTATACGTCCTCACTGTATGTATACAGGGTGTCCAATTAAGAATAGGACATAGAACAACTGAAGATATAAACCATTTATTTAGTCTCATACTAATTAATTAGGTACAAAGTTTATACATACAAATGTATCCAAGTTAAAATAAATATGGGAAAATGTACATCATGTCTATAACAATTTTAAAAGTTACACAATTATTCAAATAATTTGACAATTTACACAATTTTTTTTTTTTTTTTATTTATTATCAATTTATAGTTTATAAAAAAGAAATGTTTATTTTTAACTAAAAATTTTTTTGAATGATATAGGATATAGGATTTTGGTTCTCAGCTCATGTTAGTAAATAATAGTAATAATAATAATAAAATAATCAAGTTATATTACAAACTGGTGTCCTCAACAAAAATATTTTTAATTTAGCCTTAAAAATACCCAAAGTGGAACTGTTTTTTATTTCACTGGGTAAATCATTGTACTCACACAATCCCTTTACCAAACACATTATTTTGGGCTGATGTTCTGGAAAATTGTTGACCATGAAAATCTAGCCTACCTCTAGTGTTCATGTTGATGAATATGAGTATTGTAGACCAACTTATCCTGAATATATTTCGGTGACTGACCAGACTTTATTTTATGTATGAAAATCATAGTTAAGAACGCAACATTCCTATTAACCGAAAGCCAATCTAATGCATTCAACATTTCTCTTATTGGTGTAAGCCGAGAACATTCCAGTATTATTCACATACTTTTTTTTGTAATTTTTGCAATCTGTTCATTTCATTTTGATTAAACAAGTATAACACTGTTGAGCAATAATTAAAGTGGGGAAGTATAAAAGTTTTATAAATAGTGACTTGCCCACTGACTAAGATATCTACTGCACCTACTAAGATGATTAATTTTGTAAGCAATAATCTTTAATAATTCTTTGAATCCCAATTTTCTCTCTATAATTACTCCCAGATATTTGTATTTTATAACCTCTGTTATTACCTCTTTGCCAATGTATACTTCATATT